GCTGATTTTTTCACATAACGTTATATTGCGGGTGTACATGAGTCAGCACCCACTCGCAAGGTCAGGTACTGGGACACCTGGCGCCGGCGCGCTTTGAAATAGGTCAAATTATTGAGTGCGATAAAAGTGTTTTGTAATGGCTCAAATTTTGTGAGAAACTAATAAATAATATAAAAAACCGTTAGAAAGTGGTCAGACCGCACAGTTATGGGACGCAGCGAGTCAGCACCTCGCATAAGTGGTCGCAATAATTAGGTCAGTAAAACTGTTTCGAAATAGCTGAAAATTTAGAAACTATTAAATTATTGCGTATAATGAAGGAAGAAAACGGTCAGACTTCAGTTTAATGGGACTGACGCAGTCAGCAGTCGTTTGAAGTGCGAAGATCAAGCGCGCGCGGCTGCTCCAAGCGCGTAGTGATTTGCTTATAATTAAATTCTATTTGTATTTAATAAAATGATTGAAAGATTTTCAACTAAATCATGATTGAAATTGTTATTTTTTACGTTAATTAATTAATTAAAAATTTTATTATAAGATAAATAAACTTAAGATCAAATTGTAAATTACAAAACTACAAATAAAGAAACAAAAAATTAAAAAAAAATTTTTATAAAAAGTATAATTAAAGTATGACATAATACATTTTTTTCAAATAAACAATTAATAATTGATGTCGCTGTTATATTTTCTTCATCTGATTGCTCATCACTCTTGAAATCAGCTTCTTTAGTGTCGTCTACCTGCTCAGACTCAGTATCTGTAAATAAATAATTATGCCTCATCTATAGTATTTTATACATAATAATTTATTGTTAAAAGCAAAATATATGTAAATTATAATTTTTATAATTTTTTATATTTAAAGAATTAATAAAATGAAAATTAATAATATAAAAAATTATAAAAATTATAATTTACATATATTTTGCTTTTAACAATAAATTATTATGTATAAAATACTATAGATGAGGCATAATTATTTATTTGCAGATACTGAGTCTGAGCAGGTAGACGACACTGAAGAAGCTGATTTCGAGAGTGATGAGCAATCAGATGAAGAAAATAACAGCGACATTGATTATTAATTGTTTATTTGAAAAAAGTGTATTATGTCATACTTTAATTATACTTTTTATAAACATTTTCTTTAATTTTTTGTTTCTTCATTTGTAGTTTTGTAATTTACAATTTGATCTTAAGTTTATTTATATTATAATAAAATTTTTAATTAATTAATTAAATAACGTAAAAAATAACAATTTCAATCATGATTTAGTTGAAAATCTTTCAATCATTTTATTAAATACAAATAGAATTTAATTATAAGCAAATCACTACGCGCTTGGAGCAGCCGCGCGCGCTTGATCTTCGCACTTCAAACGACTGCTGACTGCGTCAGTCCCATTAAACTGAAGTCTGACCGTTTTCTTCCTTCATTATACGCAATAATTTAATAGTTTCTAAATTTTCAGCTATTTCGAAACAGTTTTACTGACCTAATTATTGCGACCACTTATGCGAGGTGCTGACTCGTTGCGTCCCATAACTGTGCGGTCTGACCACTTTCTAACGGTTTTTTATATTATTTATTAGTTTCTCACAAAATTTTAGCCATTACAAAACACTTTTATCGCACTTAATAATTTGACCTATTTCAAAGCGCGCCGGCGCGGCGCCAGGTGTCCCAGTACCTGACCTTGCGAGTAGGTGCTGACTCATGTACACCCGCAATATAACGTTATGTGAAAAAATCAGCCATTACAAAACTCTTGCAGTTTTTTAACGCCAACTCTCGGGCTATTGTTATATTCATGTCGGGTTGAACAGTTGCATCGCAAATGAAAAATACGTCATGCGCTAAAAGAGTATTCGTGTCACCAGGTATTACCGGAATGCATGTTCCGCCGTTATTATTACTGTAAAAATGAGGCTGTTCTCACTGGTATCACATAACGAGCCGCGGTATCCCGACTCGCATTCGCAGACGTCGAATTACGAACGACTGCAAAATGTGCAGAAGCATGTACCTCGCGTACCGGATACACGATTACTAGCACGTCGGCAATGCCGGACCAAACTGTGGACCAAGAAGCATGCCTACAATACAGTGCATTATATCAGTATACAGTGCTTATACAGCTTGTGTTTCTTGCGATGTATCGATCGTCTTATATTGGACTTTAGACTTCAGATAAGCGTCACGAAGAAGGATCATTTCTTTCAAGCATTTCCGGTCATAATGTCCGTCACGATAAATATTAGGGGTGACGAGCTAGGCTATAATATTTTCTTTATAATATCAAGTGACGATAAGATGGCAACCGATATCCTTATAAAAGCGCGATTGCTGATGGACATTTATCACTATATTATATGTCCGCTTAATCGAGAGCTTTATGCGTGATCTTTCTTACATTAAACAAAATTAACTTTAGCATAATTGTTCGCGCGGCGCGTGAAAAAGGAAGTAGCATTCGCGACAACAAAATTTAAATAAGATTTAGTATTTAGGGGTAGACCGAGTGGTGAAAGTGTCTCGGAAATCGCTAACGTTTATACATTTTCGTTTACTGTAATTTAGACTGCTCGCGTCGACTGACCGATGATCGACTGACAACTGCCTGATGAATGAATAACCATGAAAATTCCGGGGTTTTTTATGCGATAAACATCAAAGAATATGCCAGACACTTTGGGCACACTTGGCGGAAGTAAAACAGTGAGCGGAAATGATATATTTATCATTTATTAGCATTAACTGGCTTCGCGGAATTGTTAAATTGTGACTGGATTTTTCGATGCCTTGCTAGTGACCCAGGTAGCAGAGTGACGTCGAATGACGTATTAATAACGTCTTAATGACGTCTCTAACGTCAATAAAACATCATTAAAACGTCTACGTCATCCTGCTACCTGGGGAGATAGCGGCTTCCGTTTGGTCCAGTTTTAATTGCGAGTTTAAAATCAACACACGTCTCCAAACATCAGTTGTCGAAGAGGTTTTGCTGAAGTAGCTGCGAGAACGGCTGAAACTCATTGATATGTGCGTATAAACATATAGAGACAAGAATTGATAAAAATGTCACGGCGTCTGTGATGAGTGTTATTTTTAAAGTTATTGCATTCTCAAACAATAATAACATTTAAATTTGCATAATAACAATTAAATATTAATAATTGAGGAAATATTATATTTTGTAGTGTTCTCTTAATTTTGATTTAATTTATTTTATGCAACACGTGCATGGAAAGTGCCCCATTACGCACGCTACGCGTGCGTGATAGACCACTTTCCAGGCACTTGCAACATAAAATAGGGAGTGTAAGTCGTGTGTAAAGATGAAAATTCCCGGGTGCGGAGTTTACGTGCGTAAACTCCGCACCCGGGAATTTTCATCTTACGACACTTGTTACACAAATAACTATTATATTTATATTTATAAAAAGAATAAAAAGAGTACTACAAACTATATATGTATTTTTAATATAACCAAGATTTATTCACCACCCAAGATTCACCATGACGTTATGACCGTAAATATTCGCCGACAATGAGTTGAAAAGGATAATTCTTTCTTCGCGGCGCTTATCTAAAGTCACGGAGAGACGTACGCCTAAGAGCAGCCATTGTTTTGATGATGCAACCGCTATAAGTGATACTCCAACATATATATCCACGAAACATGGACGTTGAACTAATACGTAATTATGCCCATAAAATTCTTCAGAGGGTTTTTAAAAAAATGTTCAATAAAAAGGCGTTATTAATAAAAAGTTATTGGCTAAGAATGGATTTTTATACATCACATCTACAAATTACAATTATTATGTTTATCTATACATATTTATATTTATAGAATTTTTCGCGATAAAACTTTTGAGACATTAAAAGATCTTGAACATTTTGCTATAAATATTCTCAAAATTTAGTCGATGATAAAATCTAAAAGTGTGCAAGTAGAAACTTGCACATTGCTTCCTCATAGTTTTTAAGTGTAAAAATTATAAATTTGAACATTATTTCCTCACAATTTTTAAGTATGCAAATTATTACAATAATTTGCACGTTGCTTAGGAACATTTTATTTCGCTCATAAAGCTTCTTCTTTTGAAGAACCCTGTTTTTTTATGCATAATTATTAGTAGATATTTATTAATTTGGCTTCCTCGTAGAGAAAGCTTTATGAGCGAAATAAAATGTTGCTTAAGCAACGTGCTTTATAATTTGCACACCTAAAAATTGTGAGGAAATAATGCTCAAATTTATAATTTGCACACTTAAAAACTATGAGAAAGCAATGTGCAAATTTATACTTGTACACATTTTTATTAAGTAAGTCAGTGGTTTTGATCGTTAGATAATATCGTTTTCTAATAATTCATAAACCTATCTGTTGATTTCTTCTCGATGTACTGGTGGATATTTATATTGCTTTATGTGTACGAATATTTTTTTATTATAGATATAACGGATCTTGCAGATTATTGATATTCAAGCATCGAAACAAACAGAAAAAGGAAAATAGGTGAGAGATACATATACGTAAGAACACATAAAATAAAAATAATTGACACACGTATTACGTATTCGGTAAAAAGAACTGCGAAATATTTTGAAGTAAGCAAAATATTCGACAGTGACATTATGAGATATTTAATTTCTTTTCATATGTATATTATGTGTTATATTTTATATATACAATCTTTCCGATTAGTCACACAAAAATATTTCTCCATTCAAATTACCACTCACAATTTGACGGTATAAGTAGTTTTGTCACAGGAAATAACGGAGAAATTGCAGGTTACAATTGTGCTGCACATACATCATTATTATATCTTGCTAGATCAAGCAAAAATCGGTCCTGTGATTCGAAGGTAAAAATATGAAGGTAAAATTAATATTTCTAAATAAAATATTCTTTTCTTTATATAAAGCGCAGGTAATTATGAAAGAGAGGGGTTTGCTCACCGATTTGGTTGAAACTTCACAGTTTTGTGTATTTTATGGTGCATAAAAATTTTTTTTCTAATTGAGAGCGATAGTTCTAACTTACAGATTTATGTTTTACGCACCAAAATACACAAAATTGTGAAATTTTAGCCAAATCGGTAAGGAAGCCCCTCTCCTCCATAATTATCAAAGCGCGTATACCGTGTATGTTTCGTGATTAATCTTTAAAAACCATATGTGTGACCAGTGTGACATCTCATTATCATTATATTCAACCTCATTTTTATATGTTTTTGGATACCTTTAAAATTTTAGCTATCCTATTTAAAGAGCAAAAATTTGCGAAATATTAAATAATGATATTAAAATAAATATTTTATTATAATATATAACAATATCATATAAATATGATATGCTGTGTGATAAATATGATAAATGTGTAATGCTTATAATAATTATATCAGATATCGCTTTTATTAAGATATTTTATTTTATATAATCTTAATAAAATATTTTACATTGACATAAAAGATTTAAATATTATAAAATTAAATTTTCAAAAAAATGTTTATGTACAAAAGTTGCTCCTATTGTGCAGAAACGACGACCACGTGCAAACAACTATTCTTCTCCACAAAAATATTCTCATACGCACGAACGTTTGCCGACCAGAGCAAAGAGTTCTCATGATTCGAAGGGACAAAGCTTCAAACAAAGCTGTTCTAAGCTTCAGCAAAATGATGGATATTATGATAATATATCATGCTTAAAGAAAGACGCGTTTGCTTCGCTGGAATCTCTCTTCGACTTGAAGAAACCATTGAATTTGCATGATGTATTTCCTTTAGCATTACATTGTTACAAACAAAAGTCAGTCAAAATATCTAATGCCACAAAATCAGAACCTCATGTAGAAACACTGTTTCTGCAATCTTTTTCGCCACGGACAACAAACCTCAAGCAGTTTGTTTTCAAGGTGGTAATTACGCTATTGTATCGTAGTATTCTATTTACGTCCATTCTCCAATTATTTAATTGATTACTCGTCTTTGTACTTGACAAGAATTAATTTTGCATTATTCAAAGTATACATTATTAAAAAATAAAAATAAGGCTGAGATAATTTGTATATTTCATAATATGATAATAAAATTAATACTTCTTTCAGTACGAAAAACATGATGGCGTCAAAGTTGAACAAAATGCAAAAAATCAGATAAAGGCAATCAAAGAAAAAAAATTTCCGTTGGAAGTGTCGAAATCGATGGAATTTCAACTAAACGATTTAATTCACAATCAACAAAACCGCTCAAGGTAATAATTGTTTTGTTTTTATAATATATTTGTATCTATTAACATTACAAAATAATAAAATATATGTATGTAGAAATATGGCCGAAAACAAAATATCAAATAGCGAAATACAAGAAGAAGAAAAAGAAGAAAAGAAACTAGTTGAAGATGTTATTGTAGACGAGGGATCTGCTGCAACGATAGAAGATCTTAGAGAAGATCAAATAAAAACCGAAAAAAAGAATAAAGATGAGCGTGAAGATAAGAATAAAGATAAAAATGAAACTGTAGAAGATAAAGCTAATAAAGACAAAGTTGAAGAAAATAAAACTGATGACGAAGACAAAGTTGAAGGAAATAAAGCTGATGACAAAGACAAAGTTGAAGAAAATAAAACTGATAATGAAGACAAAGTTGAAGGAGACATTGATGACAAAAACAAAAGCAATGATAAAAATGAAGAGGAAATAAAAGAAAAAGTTAAAGATGGAAATGATTTGCCAGAAAAATTTTCACCCTCTCCTATCCCACTTGATGATGTGGAAGGTATATTTCAATTACTTGAAATATAAATTTATAACATCTAACCATTTCTCTCTCTCTCTCTCTCTCTCTCTCTCTCTCTCTCTCTCTCTCTCTCTCTCTTTCTCTCTCTTACTCTAATATTATATTCTAAAATTGCAGATGAAGTGATAAAATCTAAGGAATTTGTACAACCAATAATCAGTTCACCTCTTTTAACCGATGACATAATCATAGAATTAAAAGTAATGAATGAGAGATGCATTCTGCTAACAGATGAAATCCAACAATTAAAACGTGAAGTTTCTGAATTATCGGAGGTAACGTTTCATTGTTATTTGGTACGACGTTGTTAATGAGATAATTATGATAATTTATATCTCATTTTCCTTAATTTGCAGAAACCCGAGTTAACAGAAGAAGATACGCTAATGATTCAAGAGAAACAAGATGTTCTCACGTCAAAAGTAGCTGAACTGGAGCAGTTGACGCAAAAATTTCAGAAAGTATTACGAAAAGATTTAAAAGATGTATTTAGTATAATTCTGCCTAAATTATTTTACATGTGATCATATCTCCGCGATATACTTGACATGGAATTCTGCAATAATGCGTGCCAATAAAATGAAATAAATGAAATAAGCAATAGATATAGAAGTAATTGTTAAAAATATAACGCGATAAATATATTGCAGGCGCGAGAAGAAGTAGAACGGCTCGGTGAAATAGAAGAAATTGAGATTAAAAAAAGAGACGAAGAACCATTCAAAAAGATTCTAGAAGAAGATCACTTCGAGATACCGCAAATACAATATCCCGAAGATAAGTAAGTTACATTTTATTCTTATAACTATATATGTATATATAGTTATA